TATGCAGCACTTCTAGAAAGCCCACAGCAGGCCATTTCTACAGCTATGGTATGAAATAATGCCACAATCATTGCATATTCTTTTGGCTGTACAAACACTGATTAGTTTCACATTGACATCTCACATCTGACATCTCATCATATGGCAACTTTATGTAGCTTCAACTCAATTTAAGCAAACTCTTATTGATACTGGAATTCCTTTGAAAGTTGGTTTGATGATGAATTAGTGGGACTTTACATATTTGGACACTCCCCAAATGTGAACTGCCCAAACATAATTAGTTGTTGGCACTTGTTGCATTTGTAGAGGCTATAAAACACACAAGGAAGTGAATAATGTTCATTTTACATTAGAGGTCTGACAACTTCACTTTTCCGTTCGATCAAAGACTCAACATGAGGCTGTGTATATCTTTGGCTTTCATCTGCATGATGCTGTCAGCAGGTAAGAACAGTAAAATTGAGAAATTAGTACAGAAATTAATGTAAATATTGTTTTTTTTCATCGGCCTTTGTGAACATTTTGCCATCTCCTTTGCCTGCAGTGTATGGGCTGAAGTGTTTCACGTGCTGGAGTGCAAACCCTGGCACCTGCAATCTTGTATGGAGCTGCCCTAAACATTACGACCGCTGTTCCACCAGCATTGGTGAGTTAAATTTAATAATATGTATTCTTTATGGTGTGATTTTCATTTTTCCCGACTCCATGTTTACTGCTGCAATTTAGAACAGCCATGGCATGACAATGAAAAGCAGAGTCTAAACTTATTTAATGGAACGTTTCCATTTTTTCTTTTTCTGGTGCAGTTGCTGAAAATTTGATCACCAAAGAATGCATGAGAAGTGATATGTGCAACAGAGTTACTTCCGTTGGTGTCAGATGCTGTGCTGAAGACCTGTGTAATGGAGCAAAACACACAGGAGTCTTTGTCCCTCTTCTTCTAGCGCCTTTAGCCATCGCAACACTTTTCATTTAAGGCTTAATGTCCTCATTTATAGATTCTCGTGTGGTGCTTTGAGTGTTCAAATGTGGAGGAAGCATACTGGATATCAAACAACTTTCGAGGCATGTGGAGCCCTAGAAGGAAGCATTTGAATTCTAAAATCCTGGTGGACTATAGGGAAGGATTTACTTTTTGCACTGTATATCTGTAATTATTCTGATGGTTACCTGTATACTATAATTTCCTCTTATTTTGTACTCACACATTTATTCACTTTGTACATTTGGAAATACCATATAGCATTGTCTTTCCTTGAAAGTACTGATCACAATTTGCCAATTTGACTTTTTCTTCATATGTAAAACAAAAACTCTGCTGCACCTTTTCCCTTCAGACTGTATATATGGCCAGAGGTATGAATATTTTTGCTCCTAAAAAATCTAAATCTAAAATCCTACAAAATCTACAAATAAAGCAACTACATACATACAGGAAAAGTTTAGCTAGCATATTTTTATAAGCTATTTTTTAGAGGAAAGGCCAACTTATTTGGAAAAACTTTAACTGGAAAGAATACTATGCATTATACTGTGTGTAGTTAATAAAATCAGGCAGTAGAGGGCAGTATAGGAGAAATCAAAGGATGGCACACAAACAGTGAGATTGGTGAGATTATCCTTACAAACTACTTGTGTGTGTGCATCAGTTCTTACAGTTTTATGTCTAATATGAGTTCAGAGGTTGTAGATGTGAAACAAATGCATGTACCTTGCAAAAATCTAATTATTGTAGCAAGTGATATATTTTAACTGCTTACTTTCGAAATGTGTTACATAAAATATGTCATTACTAAAGAACAAGTTAAAGTACTCATTCTGAAGAATTTTTATGATGAAAATCTCCCATTATTAATATGTTATTATGTAAGCTGTGTTTTAATGTAAGTAAGATAGATAGACAGGCAGGCTGATATACAGGCAGATAGATAGATAGATAGATAGATAGATAGATCCACAGTCACTGCATACATGGCACACACAATGCAGGATCAGGTCATCAGGTAAGTGTAATAACAAAATAACAGCTATGACTGATCTAAAATAACAAAATGCTACATTAAAAGTCAATCAGTTTGTTCAAGTTTACAACTCAATGGCAGCCAAAGATCACAGTTTGATTTACTGGGGTAAATATTTTGCAATTGCATAATTAATGCAAGCATAGCCAAGAAATCACCAATTGACCTGGTGTGCACTTCTGAAAGAGCAGATCAAGGCCACACCCAGCTGATTACCAGCTCTGCTAAAAGGCAAAACAAAACAACTGGTTTAACTCTTATGCAATCGCTCCAGTTTCAAAACATAATGTAACTCCTCAATGGCTAAACTATATTAACCATAGTACATAGCACATGAGAAGGTCTTTCTCTGTTATTTGTGGTCAATATTGCTTTATCATATACATGCAGTAATCAGTAAAAATTATTATTTTAACACCCACAAACCTCTTGTTAAAGGGGAAATATTTTGTTTTCAGTGGCACTACATTAGTCTCCCCACTGCTTACTGTAAATTTTGCTTTATGAGTCATGTTGTCAATAAACTGATCAATATTAAATTGATCAATCTGAGACATTATGTATTATTGTACATCATAGCAGACTCATAAATTACAGTAAATCACATATGAGAAGTGTGTGAACACTGTATGTATTTTTTGTGATATGTTTGCTTTGGGGTCAGTTACTCATGTTAACTTGTGAAGTAGATTTGTTTAATGCTCTCCAAAGAGGCATAGAGAGCCACAGAGCTGAGGTCCCATATAAACAGGTAAGTAATACGTTGAGCAATGGATACGTGTGTTTTCATTCATTTATGGATACAAATTCGTACTTCTTTTATTTTTCTTGCTGTGAAATAACTTTGATTTATTGTCTTTCCATTAGGCACATAGAATGTATAAATGTACATGTCCGTGTTTTTTTTTTATGATTTTGCTGCAAGTCACTCCAACTTCCATCATGAGCCAAGCTGTCAGGTAAAAGGATGCTTGATTGTTCTGGCTGCTCTTACATATTAACCCTTGAGAGTTATTTTTGCTTTGCTGGATTATACTATGACATTTGTTCTGCAGATGCTGCAGATCATCAAATGTATCGATGGGTTTACTTTTTTTTCTTCCTTCATTAACATTTCTTAATAAGTCACAGCTAATTTTATTTTAAAAGCAAATGTCTACTCATGTATGACGAAACAGCTGAAATATTTATTAAAAAGAGGAGAGAGAGAATCTTGTTCAAAAACTTAGATACCATACAATTTTATCATTGCTATTCAATTTGTTAACCAAACTAAAGTCTTCTACCTGACCATGTGGAAAACATGCTGTACTGGTTGTCACTTTAATTTTTACCGAAGTGAAAGGCATTTTATATTAACCCAAAACAAACTACCATAGAAAATATGCTGATGGAGAACAGCTCTTTGGGAAAGGAAAGAGAGGGGGGGAGAAACAATAATGAAGTAGAATAGCAGTAACAGATTTATCCATTCACTAACCAGTTCAGTGTGAATAATATCTTAAATAAACATGATTTCCTCTTTCTGTTACTCGATGTTATTAACACCCCAACAATGTCTCTTTCTGTAGGGTCACATCACATCCGCAAGGACTTGTGACCCCTTTCAGCCCGACAAGTGACAAACTTGTTTCCAGTCCACCATCACAGCCCGCTATAAATACATTACAGGGTATTCAAGACTGCTGTGCCCAGCGCTAGAAACAAATAATCAGACTTTATCCCTTTTGATGGCATCCAAAAGGCATTTCATTCTCTAATGAAGACTGAAAATTGCAACACATCGAGCGAAAAAAGACATCCGCTGGTTAATTGAATCATCACGGCTGAGCAGGTTTGAGATTAATTCCACGTAAGGAGAAGATCAAAAGCGAGCCAGTTAGAAGGATGTCGAGGGGAATAAGAGCACTGAGGCTTGTGGGATAATCCCATTAAGAGCTGCACATTCATTCAGACTGAGGATTCACAACTGTACAGTATGTAACAGATTAGGGACCAACAGTCAGTGATGGAGAGCAAACCTGTACACTCAGTGTTGTAACACTGTGGTGTATTATTCTGTGCTCTCAGTATTAAACCTTTTTTAATTATGATTTTGAGCAACGATCAACCACTATGAAAGCTATTTCAGAGTTTGTCTCTGGAACAGATTGGATTACAAAAAATAAGAGAAATGCATGCGTCATTGCTTAATACTGATTGCCAAGGACATATTTTAATATTTGGATTACACATACACATTTACATTGTACTTTTACACACATGTATCATTGTAGGGTATATCACTGATGTCATCTCTGACTGCACTGCAAGCATTTGGTCTAAAATTATAGGTTTTATAATTTAGTTTTGGTTTAAGGTGTACGTGTATATGTGTCTGTGCATGCATTTTAACATTGCTGTGTTAACACTGTGGAAACACATTTAAACGGCTGCTACAGAAAAAAAACCCGCTCACCCACTCAACATCCAAATAAAGGAATGACATTAGTAATTTTACCATAGTGTTTAGTAATTATCATAACCATGCACCATTGATAGAGGGCAACAAAATCCTGTAATCCAAACAAGACGAAGTGTCAAAGTGGTGTCGCTAGCCTGGCTAAAAGAGCAAGATTTGAATCTCCTGACCAACTTCAGAAATTCTGCTTCCTCATCAAAACCAACGGTGGTTGCTCAAAGCAACTTATGGGTATGTAAATGTGATACAGTTTTGCTAAAAGATAAATCTTCTGCCAAATAAGTAAACATTAAAAACACAGTACCACACAAGCACATCACGTATTGTATTTAGTGCTGGACTAAACTGAAGAATATTCTCACATTTTCACATCTAAAGAATATGACAGTATGGTGGTTAAGGGTGAAATGGATGGATCCTGCAGAAGCATACTAGAAAAACAAACACTAAATGAACATGCAGCTCTATAATGAAGTTGAAGGAAGCTCAAAAAAACAGAGTGACTCACAAAAGCAGAACTTTAAAAATGCGCTTTATCATGCAAGTCATATTTATTTTCAAATTGTCAAGGCAATATAAACAGAAGAGACAGCAGAGATTTAAACCCCCCCAAAGAAAACTAAAACTGATATAAACTAAGAACAACAGAGGGAAGGTTGGAAATGAATGCCGCTGCCAAGAAATATAATGTATCACAGATTTTCTTGACAAATTACCTAAAGGAGAACAATTAAATCCACCATCACCCATTAATTAAAACTATTTCTCAAATAAATACACTATAATCAAAGCTAACATAATCAGGACACTAAATAAAATGTTTGGCCAAAACAATACAAAACTTGTATTGACAGCATTTGTCAAACTGGTGTATTTACAGAGAGATGAATGACTCTGTGATTGTGTGTGTGTGTAATCTCATTCCACAGCGCAGAAGTTGTCCAGACTGTTCTCTCTGGTCTTGGGGAGCTCGCGCTGTTCCAGTAGTCGGTACTGAAAGGACACACGGTTGATATAGTTCCCACTGGACACCAGCCTCACCACTGAGTTATCACAACCAATCTTCATCTGGGCTGAGGGGGCCAAAGAGAAAAACAGACACTTTACACTGGAGCGCATACAGAGCATTCTTGTTCTCTAGCCAGCCCTGCTTTGCCTGCTTACCCAGATTTGGGTTACCCTGTTTCGCCAAACTCTTAACTAACTCTTAACTTATTTGGCGGCAGGCTGGTGTGTTCCCATTGAAAGATTGTCTGTAGTTTGTGTTTGTTTTTGTAATGTTAAAATCACGTGAAAATCAGAATGTAAAATGCAATTTGCAATGCAAATATTTGGGAATTTCATCATGTGGGATGTTCTTATTATTTTGAAGGACTCATCTGCTGAATAATATGTCTATTTTTGGAAAGCATATAAACTGTCATCACCATGAGAGGACCCTGCTGCTGTAACACTGTGTGAACCGTGTATTGATTTGTGGGATCATGCAGCTGGAAATTAGTTTGAATGTTTGTGTCAATATACATGGTCAAATGTGCCTAACAGTGTTTGAACACCTGGGTAATTTTCAGTTAAAATCAGTAACAACTGAAAATGGTGAGCATGGACATAGCATAGCATAGCATAACACAATATAGCATTGTATAGTATAGTCACTGTCCAGTACAAGAAGTCAGATTTCCGAATTGTCAGTGTTCTGATGGAAACCTGCTGTTACAATGAAAATCACAGATTCTCACTGGAGGTAAACTGGAGGGGCTCTGACTCACCAAGACCACTGAGGGAGAAACAGAGGTCAGCTACAGGGAACATCTTAGAGGTGTCCACTCCATTCCCCCCTAGCAGCTCCACATAGTCACCTGACCCCGAACAGCCTGACCACACCTGCCTCTGTAAAAAATTAACAACAAAATATTCTGGTGTAGCAAGCAGGCAACTTGTGAAGTCTGCATATGAAAGTGACATATAAAAGGTACCCTGTAGAGTTTTCGACCACTAGTGGCGCTATGGAGCAATATGTTTTGAACAGCAGGTTTTGCTTGTATCTTGTCTCTGCTAACACACACTTCTAGCCATAGGATGTTCAAAAGCAGGTTATAAAGATTTTTTAAGACAAGACTTAATTATGAAAGAAAATACAGTCACTGTGTTTGTCAGGTCTCAATATGTTGGTAAGAAATACAGAAAGTAAACAAAGTTTGTTTACTAGAATAATCCACAGGGCACCTTTAAATTCCAGCTCGGTATACATGCTGTTTAATATGTATTATTGATTAGAGCAATAATTAGAGACACTGCTAAGAGACACACTGATAATCCCATGTTCAGATAATACTATACACCCTAAAGCTAAAGGGCCTCAAGTTTCAATCCTTGCCCCCTCATATTTTGTATCTGTGCTCTTTTATCACATATTTTTTGTATAAAATATGATTATATGCAGCTGTATTCGCCTGTAAAACTGTTCATACAAATCATCTGTGAAATTGATAATGCTTGACTTTGGAGCACTTACAACTTTCCTCAACATTTGAGTCGAAATGTCAGGTTGTTGTATTTGGCCCAGCAGATTCAGTACTTACAGTTTATCATAATGTCAGCACTCTGGCAGCCAGTGTCAGACCAGCTGCCAGCAGCTTCAGGAGTCATTTTGTTTTGTTCAGCCTTTTATCAACACGATTTACAGGGTTTAAAAGGTTCTCTTCCATGAGTTAAACTTTTAACTACTATGTACTTAATGGTGCTTGTAGTGTTAAGAGAAATTGTAGCAGTGGTAATCAAGTCGGTTTACTTTTTGTGTAACTTTTGTGTTCTTGTACAGTATTTGGGAATATGTTCGTATAGGTAATTACTGTAAACTTGTAAGCAAACAGTTGAGCAACATTGCCATTTATTTGGAGTTGTCTTTCTGGTCACCTGTTGAATACAAGTCAAATATTCACTGTCTTTTAGGTCAGTTTTTAGTCTCCATATCTGGCTCTTTAGCTGCTAAATGGTCCACTATGTTCACTAGCTAGTCCCTAACAGTGTCTGTCTGCTGTTTGGTGCTGCGCAGGTAGTGTACAGTAGGGTTTTTTAGTTTCTTTGCTGAAAACAGTTGCCCGCTAACTGTATCCTGGCTGTAGCTTCACATTTAATGAATAGACAGGAGAATGGTTTTCATCTCAAATGCTCTGCAAGAAAACAAATAAGGATAGCTCCAAAAATGTTGAACTATTTAAGATTAGGAAAATATAGAGCAATATTACATCACTAAATATGCTCACTATAAAATTGCCTTAACCCTACTTTCTGAAAATATTAAAATGATTAATTAAATAAATACAATATCACAGAAACAGTTTCCAACTTGCATAATGCTTACCTCCTTACCTGAATCAGTTATAAAGGATTTTCTTAAATTTCTTTTTTTTTTCTACATAAACCACTGATCTGATGATGATGATGATGATGATGATGGTGACCCAGATGATGCAGATGATACTGGAACTCCACCCTTATTATCAGACTCAACAGCCATTTTGTTTCACTATAGGCTATTTTCAAGAATAAGGTTAGGTGGCCAGATATGTAGGAAGATGACATCCTATTTCTAATCATACCTACAAAGTTAAGATTGGTCAATTGTTTCTCTAACTGGGAGAACTTTAAAGAAGAGTTTAAGTAAAGTGAGAGAAAATGGGGATGTTTGTCTGTCTTTTTGTGTGTCTGTGTGCGCGTGTCTCACCTGTGGGCTTAGTTCATTGCTTACGGCCTGCCCCAGGCTGAGTTCTGTCAGTCGGATCTCCACGGGGTAGATGACGGAGAAGCTGCAGTTCCTGCGCTGATGTGGCATCACCATGGTGAAACTGCCCTCTGGACTCTGAGACATGATGTTACAGGCTTTACACACACACACACACACACAGACACACACACACACACACACAGGAGGAGAGGTTTCGAATTAACAGTTCCCTATCACCAGAGAAACTCATTACTGACACCTCATGTCACAAATTGGACATAATCAAGGCTGACTGCGGGGAGGGGACACAATTAGGGCTGAACATGGAAATCCAATTCCAGTTCTGATGACAAAGATAAGAAAATAATGAAATTTGAATTGATAACAGTATGGTAGACTAGACAGGCACCAACAGAAGTCGGAACAATTTACTCCTACTGGTATGTTGTTCATTTAGAAACATTTTTGTGGTAAAAGCCAATTAAAGCGGAGGAGAGAATGTGAGAATAAATCAATATTATGGAGTGTTATTTGTTCTGCAAGTGCAAGATCTTAAGACTAGATCAATATAAAAGTCATTGATCTAGTCTTAAGATCTCTGCATGTGTATAATTTAACTGTCACATTTACAAAGGAACAGAGTGAACATGAATAAAACAACTGTTTCTATTTTTGTTAAAACACATTAATGCCCCTCATCACTGCATAACAGCATTTTCAAAACTGACTATCCCAGAGGGACTGTGCCAAAATCAGGTGAAATATTTGTTGGCCAAAAAGTGTATAGACATGTTGAGGGACATAAGTATATTACATTGTTGTGTGTACAGAGACATGCAAGCTTTTTTCTGGCCAGTTTTACCCAATTGGAGCCACCTTGGGACACAACAGAGGCTTGAGATCAGATAAAATGAAAGGCCAGTATTGCAGACAGCTGCATTTAATGGTGAATGCATGTATAAAACCTGTTTCCCTATAGATAATCCATTCAAACTCCCTTTTTTGTGTCTTTCTTTGTCTGTCTTTGTCTTACAGCAGACTGTGATTGTTATGTTGCTTGACACAATGTTAACGCCATGTTTGTCGAGCAGCTGGAAAACAGGTGCATCCTTTTCATTCAATCTCTACCTGTCGCTCTTGGCTCTGATTAATGCTTGACCAAGCGCAAATGACCAGGAAGAACACACATGCATGCACACAAGCCGGGAGTCTAGCCCTCATGTTAAAACACACATATCAAAGTAAAAACCAAAAACAAATCTCATTTAGATGCAAGGCCTTGGTCCTTGGTTACATTTCTTTCTTATTAATTAGTTTGTTTAGTTTGTTTGTGATTTAATTTCCTTTATATGGATGCTGTTTCTGTATCTTTGCCTTTAGATTTTTTTTAGCCCTCAAGTGCCTTCAAGGGTGTGCAGCAGGACTCACGGAATGGGTTGTGTAGCTTTTTGACAGCGAGGGTGAAGCCGCTGTCGGGGCTGTGAATGCGGAAGAAAATCATGGCGACGTTCTGAGAGGAGCGGCTGGTGGCTCCTGGTGCTGGGGACGAGCAGTAGTCTGTGTAGCGCTGGTGTAGAGGGAGCTGGTGGTCCTGCCTGCTGGGGAATTTCTCTCCCTTCAGAACCCAGCCGTCAAACATCTGTAGGAGGAATATGCATGAAATGGAGTAAATATAAACTATGCCAGGTTTTAATAACAATTTTTAATAGAAACTATATATATACTATATACAGTATGTGGTTGCCTTGACTTGAAATATAAAAACTGAAAGTGTCAGTTATTGATGTATAATGAATGAGTTGATCAATATGTCTGTTGCCCCAAACTCCTCGTGTTTTCTGTTAAACTTGTTATAACTGTGCACTGTCTTTGAATAACAAATGTTAAAAATAAAAGTTTAAATGTTAGCTAATTAAGATTAACATAAGGAAACATGACTCGACTTTACTTCAGGTGTCTTTTCTCAGGCTATTAGTCCAGTACAGTTTACAGCTTCTGTACTGCTGTGTTGTGAATCATATTTAATTACAACCACGATCCAACATCAATTTTGTTCTATAAATATTCTGTGAATCTCATTTATACAGATTTTGTGTTCAAAATTAATGAGGTGTGCTGTTGGATTGTGTTGAGCGTCTTTCTCCTACTGAAACGAACTGATCTATGCAGGTCATTTACAACTATTACTGGTTTCCAGATAACACCTCGACCCAGCCTGTAAACCCAGTTGGTATTGTAAAGTTAACCTGCTTTTCTCTCTGCAATGCCTTTTACCACTTTAGCCCACATGGATGGAGACTGCAATGTAACTGGCAGGCTTGGCTTCAGAACTAAAGCCTTCTCTTCCCACACTTGCTCTGGGTAATGTGACCAATGCACAGAGGATCTAGTGTGGTGTTTGGCCCTTAAATGCAGCCTTAAACCTGTTTGGCATCATTTTAGTCAAACTGAAGAAGATTGAATAGAATTCAGGGTTGAAGGCTGAACTTCATGTCTTCCGCTCACAGAGGGGTTGGTGGGATGTGTGGGCGTTATTTTTGGGTAGTGGAGCCAAACCTTGATGAAGTCCCCGGCGTTGCAGTCGATGCTGACGTCAGTAAGCTCCAGACTGATGACCTCACTGGGCTCAGCGATGACAAAAGCAGCACAGGCAAGCTGTGGCTGAGACGCCACAAAGGTGAAGTAGCCATCAGTGGCCAGCATGTCCAAACATCCTACAAGCCGCACACAAACACTTCTTATTCATAATGACGGAGGAGGGGTTCACAAAACACTGTGACTCGGCTTTTGACCACAAACAATAATCAAGGACTCAGTGTGATCACTCAAATTGTGATGGTAATCACAATTGACTGTGAGTTGTTTTATTCTGCTCATACAGTAGAGCTGATGTGGCTCTAGGGAGTTTGTTTTAAGTGGACTTCATTAAACAGTGACATTGTGTTTGTGTACAACATTTCTAACATTTTTCTGTGTGCTCTTTTGAGAAATACCAAATGGATGTCCTATAGGTAAAGCAGATACAGTGTTGTTGTTCATTGTTGCTTTTATATAAAGGTCTATTTATATGTCACCTACTTAAATGTAAAAAATAGTTCATCTTTGTTCTGTCTAAATCTGTTTTATATATATATATATATATATATATATGCTTATTAAGAAATGCTGGTTCTGATTAAGATGCAACTGACTGATTGTTGGATACGGTATACTGCAATGAACATTTCTTCACTGAAGGTTTCAAAATCAAACACTTAACACACTTTTTATTATGTAAAGGGTTTACTTGTTGTTTGCCAAGTCGGTAAACAAGGTTAAGCATAATCAGCTGCTGAATAAAACCATTATTTACTGCAGCACTTACTGAGAGGTCGGCGGAAAACAAAATCCTCTGATTCTCTTTTCTGGTCCAAATTGAGCAGAGAATATAATCCATCTGAAGCTTCGTTGTCCTGAATAAAAACATGATTGAAACGGACGTCACATTTTAGATTCCAACTGTACTCGCAGAAACTTTAGAGACATCACTTTAACCTGCCTGACTTAAACTTAAGCGACGACGAATTACTGATTAACGACCAAAACTCTTACCTCAATGTAGCGACTGAGCCCCATCCTCGATGAGAGGGAGATCAGGAAGAGGAACAGCTGAGTGCGCAGAGCCACTGACATGCTGAAGTGCGTCTCTCGGGGTAAAGTGTTTTCCGAAGCAGAGGCGAAAATAACGGCGCAGCCTGAGAGGTGGCAGCTTTTATAGCAGCACAGACAGACAGGCAGGCCTACATCAGAGGGTCAATGAAACACACTGAGTCGTGCTGACTTACGGTCATTTTTATCACGTGTGAAAATCTGTCATTCACACCACTTAAGTATGGCTGGCTGTGTAGGAACGGATAATAGCTGCCTATAAATGTATTAAAAGAAATTAAAAGTCACAATGTACAATGTCACAACCTGACACAATTCTTAAATTTGTGCACAACATACACTTGCTCGGTTCGTCCTTTACATTGTCCGGTGGTTAAACATTATGGTGGCACTCCATGCCTGAAGATACCATGACAAATATTTATATAAAACGTCTAGAATCCTTAGCAAATAAGCAATTATCATTTTTATAAAGTGCTTTTGAATATACATAAAGACAAATGTGTCTTTTATTTCATATGTGAAATCAAACTGTGCTGTCATCAAGTTAAAACATGAATTTCATATGTGCTTATTTTGAAAGGAAATGCTTCTGTTGAACAATGACACACATGCAAACGTTATACTCTGCAATGTACCCAACAGCAGGAGCTTCTGGCTTGATGAGCTATTCAAAACAAAACAGCCTGGCAGTGGTTTGTGAGTGGGAAGACAGTGAGGGATCATGACACAGTGGTGACCTAAAGGTTAGAGAAGCAGGCCTGAGACTGGAAGGGTGTTTCTTCAATCCCCTGTGAGGTACAGATCTAAGTTCCGCAAAACTTTGCCCCAGAGCAAATGTTGAGTGGGGAGGAGACTTTTTCTGATAGCTCCATAGTGCTGAACTAAATCATCTAATTAAATCATTGTTAATTTTCCAGTATAGCCTCATCATAGCTCTCGACAGTGATTACCTGGAAAGTGTAGGTGACTACAATTTGTCTCTACGATGCACATGGAGTTGCCAGCTGTCCCTTATTTTGCCTGTTTTGACCAGTTCAATTGCCAAATTCTGATTCACGTTGCTGGTTATTGGCATGGACGGGAGAGACATGTAAGGGAACTGGGAATCCATATTTTTTAAAGAACCTTCTCTATCTCCCTGTAAATAATAGAGAAATCAAAGAAATGTTTTTGTGATTTGTGGAGAGCAGATAGATTGATGCTATGGCAGCAAACTTCATACATGATTTCTATCTTTATATTCAGTATGGATGCATTCTTTAATCAATTAGTTGGTAACATAGGTTTTGTGAAACTCAAGCACACAAAGATAATCAAACCAGAGGATAAGTTTGCTTAAATGACATAGCAGTTCCTTTTCATTTGATGAAACACAGGTCTTCAAATTATTTTGGAAGGCACATGTTTCATTCCCACCCATCCAGTGTGCTATACTTATAAACACGAGTGACTTGAGACTTGACTTGTACTCTAGGTCAAAGACTTGGATTCTTGCTCAGAGACTTGAGGCTTGACTTGGATTCTTGCTCAGAGACTTGAGGCTTGACTTGGATACTTGCTCAGAGACTTGAGACTTGACTTGGATTCTTGCTCAGAGACTTGAGACTTGACTTGGATTCTTGCTCAGAGACTTGAGACTTGACTTGGATTCTTGCTCAGAGACTTGAGACTTGACTTGGATTCTTGCTCAGAGACTTGAGGCTTGACTTGGATTCTTGCTCAAAGACTTGAGACTTGACTTGGATTCTTGCTCAAAGACTTGAGGCTTGACTTGGATTCTTGCTCAGAGACTTGAGACTTGACTTGGATTCTTGCTCAAAGACTTGAGGCTTGACTTGGATTCTTGCTCAGAGACTTGAGGCTTGACTTGGATTCTTGCTCAGAGACTTGAGACTTGACTTGGATTCTTGCTCAGAGACTTGAGACTTGACTTGTACTCTAGGTCAAAGACTTGGATTCTTGCTCAGAGGCTTGAGGCTTGACTTGGATTCTTGCTCAGAGACTTGAGGCTTGACTTGGATACTTGCTCAGAGACTTGAGGCTTGACTTGGATTCTTGCTCAAAGACTTGAGGCTTGACTTGGATTCTTGCTCAAAGACTTGAGGCTTGACTTGGATTCTTGCTCAGAGACTTGAGGCTTGACTTGGATTCTTGCTCAAAGACTTGAGACTTGACTTGGATTCTTGCTCAGAGACTTGAGGCTTGACTTGGATTCTTGCTCAAAGACTTGAGGCTTGACTTGGATTCTTGCTCAGAGACTTGTGACTTGACTTGGATTCTTGCTCAAAGACTTGAGGCTTGACTTGGATTCTTGCTCAGAGACTTGAGACTTGACTTGGATTCTTGCTCAGAGACTTGAGACTTGACTTGGATTCTTGCTCAAAGACTTGAGGCTTGACTTGGATTCTTGCTCAGAGACTTGAGACTTGACTTGGATTCTTGCTCAAAGACTTGAGACTTGACTTGAACTCTAGCTCAGAGACTTGTGAGCATCTCTGCTTTGTATGACTTTATACCACCTCTGCAGTAGAGCACATCTGGATGTAGCCAGAGACTGGTTGGCAAGTGTATGGTTGTATCGTTCCTTGCATATCTGTGTGGAGAGGCATTCACAATATGGCTACATGTTCAGTTAATCCTGAATATATATATACTAATACTCCCCCCTGGGTGTTTTTTATTTTGCTAGGAAAACCCAACCAGACATGGACATGGAAATGTTGCTGTATTCAAAAGCACAGTGTTGATCTTTTGCACAACACAACGAACACAGTGGACCAGAATGTAGCTATAGTAAAAGAGAAAGCGAGAAAGAGTCAGAGGGGAGAGGGAGAAACTGTGATGTAATTTGGTTTGTAGTGACATAGCAAACTCATTTAGATGAAACTAATTGTGAGTGTCCATGCTGCCATTGTGAAAGGTCAAAGTCAGATGTGGCTGAGTGTAGGAGATGATGATCCTGTCAATGTTCGTAATAGAACAGCCCACACTTTCTCTAATTCATCTGAAATGAAAAGACTGTGTGAATCTCTGGAACACAATTATCTTAAGCTAATGATAGCTGACGTTTTCTCATAGTGATGAAGGTCTGTGATGGACTACAAACAAAAAACAAAACAATAATGAACTTAATGAATAACATTTGGTCTAACAGCCCCTCAGCCTGTACAATGCTGATGACCTATTCAAGGTGTATTACTTTAATTTAAAAGCCAGTGGTCAGTGTTAATAATTAGTTGTCTTACAAAGTCCTTGTGTTGTGAAGATGTCTGAACTTATTAGCCAGGGCTTCGCTGCTAATGTGTGCTTGGCTAATGTGAATGACAGCCGAGGGAAAAGAAAATGTTAGGAAAATGTTAGATAGTGTGCTACAAGTGCTTGTCTCTTGGTGATTTCACACAAATGCTGCGATGTGTGTGATGTGGCGCTGGGGTACATACTGTAATTATTTAAATCGAATTTATTAAATGAATCGATAGATTTTAATGAAGTAACCCCACAGTCATTATACTGCTCCAAATGATGAACAGATATATCAATTCACATTATGCCAGTCTATTCACATGCCAGTTCATCGTCTAATCTAATCTAATACAATCATATCTAACCTCTCTTCCCCATATTACCACCCAACAGACCTACACCCTATCACTGAAATCCTGAATGAATGAATTAACATGATTTGCTGTCCAACAGAGAACTTTGTGCACTTTGCGGTCTGCAATGTGAACATAAATCAGGATATGAAATGCAATAATGGCCAGATTAGATCAACAAACAGTTACATGAAGTAAACATGACAACATACACAAATATCCGGCTAATGTGTGACATACAAACACCCACCAACAAACACATATTAAATCAGCGTTTGGCAAATGTCCCTGCTCTGATGTTGGTGAAAATGTTAACATGACGTTCAGTTTGAAATTAAATTAATTAAGAAAGCTCCATGGCTTTGCTATTAAAATAAATCCAACTGGAGGTGGCAGCTGCCCCGTCTCAACAAGATAAAAGATTACAACACCATCTAGTGGCAAATGGAGGAACAGGTTTGATTATTTTTAGTCTATGAGTTTATTATATTGAGATATGCATGAATTAAAATTCACTAGAATTTTCTTAGAAATGCAACCCAATTCTGCTCATCAGAATTGTCTTAAAGATAGAAGCGACTCAGAAAATTTTATGGAGTGCCCACCGTGTCTGTGGCCAGATGTGTTAGTCACCCCCCATGTGGCCAAAGTTAAATCACAAAGATTGTTGACTCCAGACATTAGTGTCTTAACCCTGCCTTGGCATCCCAGCATGTAACCTCCTTCTGCACACCTGCTCCCTGGCAAAGACAGCACATATAGCGAAGTATCTGGCTTTGTGGCTGATTATGTGTTGACTCCCTTCCACACACCCATGCGCACACTCTTCTTGTGTGGATCTGTCCGTCAACACAGCGGTCCAGCCTGGGCCTCCTTACTGCCTGACTGACCCATTCATCTCCTGTAGGGGCCATAATGAGCTGACCCTCCCTGTTTGGACCGACCTGACAGAGAGAGATTACTTTAAAGGCTGCATAGATTTTCTCCCTTGTCCCCTCCTCCCCATTCCTCTCCCATGAAAGTGGTTAATTCAAAGTGCATTAACGAGGAGCGATGGACAACACACACTTCTTTTAATTACCTTCCAACGAGTTCTTCAGGGGAGGCCTGGTGACTCCCATTTGATGCTGGCCTGTTTGTTTGGCTTGCTTTTACCAGTTTAAGACTTTTATCTAATACAATTTTCATGGTCAAGATAAATCATAATGAAGTGTTTATGGGTCAGTCATAGAGATATTGTATATTAGGGTAACAAATGACAGGATATACAAAATAAATCTTCACAAAAATTGCCTTGGTTTGGCTTTGATTCACTTATTTTCTTGTTTAATGTCACACCCATCAACTAAATACTAACAAGGTTATTGGACAAACCTTGATTCTGTTCACCATTAAGAATATATTGATATTGTTCAAAATGTATGTTGATTATGCTGAGGCATAATAATTATTATTTTTGGATGTAAAATTTGCTTTTGAGAGTAGCAT